TAGTTTTTGAGCAAGGAGCCATGCGTTTTCATCTTGCACTGAAGCTGAAGCTCCAATACTTTGGCCAGCTGACGTGAAGAGCTGACTCTGGAAAGGACACTGATGCTGGGAAAGATTGAAGTTAGGAGGAGAAGGGGACGACAGAGGCTGAGATGGTTGGGTGACATCACTGACTCAATGGACATGAGTTTGAGCAAGCTCCGGGAGATGATGAAGGACAGGGAAGACTGGTGTGCTGCAGTCCATGGGGTTGCAAAGAGTTGGACACAACTGAGTGACTGAACAAAACTGAATTCTGTAGCTGGTCCCAGCCAGTACCCCAGAGCTTGGGTACTGTAGTCAGTACCCCGGAGCTTGGGTGTTGATGGTTTATTTTCAGAGGGGGAAATGGGAGCAGGGGGTAACTGGCTTCCATGTTGCTGGGAGCACACAAAGTATGAGGAACAGAGAGGCAACTGAGTAGAGCTCTCTAATTCTCTCGCAAGATGTCAAAATTGTTAAAGAGATCAGATTAGGACTAAGACGTGATTTAAAGGCGAGCAAGTGAAGGGCACAGCAGAGGGCAGGCAGGGTCTGTCCTCCAGCCTCATCACTCGCGTCCCGCAGCCGTGTGGCTCCACCCTTCCTGAACACCTTTCCAGTCTGGCCACTTCCCCTTCTCTCTGGGCCCGCAAAGCCCCAGGCCAGCGTGCAGTCACAGCCTCCCTGTCACTCTCCCCTCCTGACCATCACCCTGGACCCACTGGTGGTCTCTGTGCACTTTTTAAAAAAGAAAGAAAGTCGCTCAGTCGTGTCCGACTCTTTGTGACCCCATGGACTGTAGCCTACAGGGGTCCTCTGTCCATAGGATTTTCCAGGAAAGAATACCAGAGTGGGTAGCCATTTCCATCTCCAGGGGATCTTCCCCACCCAGGGATCGAAGCCAGGTCTCTAGCATTGCGGGCAGATGCTTTCCCATCTAAGCCACCAGGGAAGCCCTATAAGAAACAGTCCTACTGTGTAACACAGTGAACCATATTCAATATCTTGTAATAAACTAAATTGGAAAAGAATATGAAAAAGAAAAAAATTGCAAAGAATGTTTATATATGTATAATTATTATATACATATATATGCTGTTTTCAGTTGTTAAGTCGCTTTTGTGACCCCATGGAGTAGAGCCCACCAGGCTGCTCTGTACATGGGATTTTCCAGGCAAGAATATGGGAGTGGGTTGCCATCTCCTTCTCCAGGGGATCTTCCCAACCCAGGGATCAAACACATATCTCCTGCATTGTCAGGTGGGTTCTTTACCACTGAGTCACCAGGCAGCCTATATATATATGCCAGCGCAGAAGACCTAAAAGACTTGGGTTCAATCCCTGGGTTGGGAAGATCCCCTGGAGGAGGCCATGGAAACCCACTCCAGTATTGCTGCCTGGAGAATTCCACGGATGGAGGAGACTGTTGGGTTACAGTCCATGGCGTCACAGAGTCAGACACGACTGAAGCGACTTAGCAAGCAAGAATCACTCTGCTGTACAGTAGTAATGAACACAACATTGTAAACCAACTACACGTCAATAAAAACTTTAAATAAAAAGATTTTCAATGAATAAGCAGCTTTATGGGGAATTCCTTAGGAGCCCAGCAGTTAAGTCTCTCTGCCTCCACTGTAGGGGGCTTGGGTTTGATCCCTGTGAATTGAGATCCCACATGCCTTGCAGCATGGCCAAAAAAGTAAAAAGCTTTATGGAGATATAATCCACATAGCACACAACTTACCCATTGACGGTTCAGTGGGCTTTGGCATACTACATTATTTGTTTTTTTGAGGTTATGGTAACTACACAGCATAAGAACTGCCACTTTAAGTGTACAATTCAGTGACATTAATTACATCCAGAGTGTTATATACCCATCATCACCATCTATTTCCAAAACTTTTTCATTGCCCCAAACAGAAGCCCCATATCCATTAAGAGAATTTTCTATTCTCTTTTACCCCACCTCTCAGTAACCTCTCTGTCTCTATAACGTGGTCTGCTATGGATATTTCATGTCAGTGGTATTTATGCAATGCTTACCACTTTCTTATTTCACCTAGCATGCTTTTTAAGCTGTTTCCATGCTACAGCATGTGTCAGAAGTTCATTCCTTTTTATGACTGGGTAATATTCCACACTTGGTTCATCCATTCATCCATCCATGGACACCTAGGTTGCTCTACATTTGGCTACTGTGAATAAAGCTGCCATGAACACAGATGCACAAATATCTCTTGGATTTGATTCTTTTGGGACCCTGGGCCCATTGTTGACCACTCCAGTCCAGTTGCACGCAGCAGAGTCATCTTTTACCAACACACACTTGATTGTGTCACTCATCTGCTTACAGCAGTTTGCTAGCTTAAGACGGAAATGCTCACAAAGCTTAGGACAAAGATGGCCATGCTCAGCAGGGTCTCTGGTCCCTGAGCTCCGGCGGCTGACCTCTCCACATCACCTCGCCCTACCCTTTTCTCTCTGTTCCATTCCCTCCATGCCTCTCTGTGCAGCTGTGTTCCATTCGGATTTCACAGGTGCTCATTCATTTTCCTAAGATGTTGTGTGTGCGTGTGTGCATGTGTGTGTGCTCAGTCATGTCTGACTCTTTGCAACCCCATGGACTGCAAACCCAGCCAGGCTCCTCTGTCCATGGAATTTCTCAGGCAAAAACACTGGAGTGGGTTGCTATTTCCTATTCCAGAGGATCTTCCCAACCCAGAGATCGAAACTGCATCTCTTGCATCACCTACATTAAAAGGTAGATTCCTTACCACTGCACCACCTGAGACTTGGCGTTCTCCTCAGAACACTCCTAAGATGTTCATCCTCCCCAAATACCTAGCTTTTGCTTGACCAACTCTTCCCATGTAATCTTAAAAAGGGCTCCCCTGGTGGCTCAGTATTAAAAAGGTTGCTAACACCTGCCTTCCTCACTCCCTTCCTCCCACCCTCCCTCTGTCTTGCTCCTGCGGTCCCTTGCTGTTCATTTGGCATTACCAGTTCAAAGTCTGTCTTCCTCACCCGTTGGTTGGTGTTTAGTTGCTAATCGTGTGCTACCCCGTGGACTGTTGCCTGCTAGGCTCCTCTGTCCATGGGATTCTCCAGGCAAGAATACTGGAGTGGGTTGTCATTTCCTACTGCAGGGGATCTTCCCAACCCAGGGATCCAACCCGAGCCTGGTGCATTGACAGGTGGGTTCTTTATCACCGAGCCACCAGGGAAGCCTCTTCCTCACTGTGGCAATGACTGATATTGACTGAGCACTTACTCCTTCCAGGCCCAGTTCCTATTCTCCTCACCTGTATCAACTCCTTAAATCTTCACAGTGGGCCTGCCGCCTTTACAGATAAGGAAGCCTGGGGATGCTATTCCCGTGAGAGGCAGTACCCACACTGGCATCCCGGCCCTGAGGGAGCATGGTTCCCTTCCTGGGCCAGATATTCAGCTCCTAGAGAGGATCTAGCCCAGATAGGTACCTAACTCCTATCCAAACTAGATGGATCAATGGAATGCAATGTGCATGGAGGAAACTGAGTTTTGAGCAAAGGTCACTTACTGAATGGCTGCTAGGTGCTAGGCATCCTTACCTACCCCCCCTCCCCCCGCGCTTCAGTTTCCCCAACCTTGAAAGCGCACAAGAGTACTGAGTATCAAGGATTATTGAGAAGGCTGAACGTTTTCACGTAGGTTTTAAAAAATACTGGTGCCTGGCTGTCTGGGTCCCACTAACACATTTGATGGTTACAAATGCCGCACTCCCCGCCCCCGCCCCCGCCCTCGCGCCCGCACCCCCTCCAGACAGAAGAGGAAATGGCTGGAATTTTCCCTTCCCGAGCACAGAGTGGGACGCGATGACATCCAGCCCCGGGGTCCTTGCGGCCCACCTCTAAGAGGTTCCCGCAGGTAGGCCAGCGGGTCGCTCGGGGGTTCCCTCTCCAGGCCTTCCCGGCACGAGGTACGGCGCGTCTCCCCTCCTCGGGCACTTCAGAGCCTGGGGGCCCGCAGGGCGCCTGGGCCCGCCCTTGGGCCTCATTATCTACGTTTCCGCGTCAGGCCCGCGGCGAACTTGGCAGGCGCTCCCGGGGTGTTCGGGAACACTCTGTGCCGAGCGCGTTCCCGCGCGGCCCGCCTCCCTCCCCGCCAGCCCGGATGCCCCGCGCAGTCCGCGGGCGTTGGGTCGGTGGACCCCAGGTTCGGCACCCGGCGCGCATCCACAGAGCCCCGGTGCCCTTGTCCTCGATGCCCCCCGAGCCCGGGCGGTGCGAAAATCCACTGCTCGCCCACGGGCTGGGCGTCCAAACGTAGGTTACCCCGCGCGTCATCGAGAGGTTCAGAAAGATGCTGTGGCCCCATTTTAAAAACAAAGCCCGTTTATTAGCGTTCGGCTGCGGGCTGGGCCGGCCCAGCGTCAGATCCTGAGCGCGGCCGACACCCAGCACCCACAGGAAAAGTGGGCAGCTAAAAGAAACCTGTTCTGGGCCCTGTGACCCGTTCGGAGCACAACGCCTCCCCTTTCCGCTCCCCCTTCGCCCCGCGGTGGTTCCCGTCAGGGCTGCGTCCTCTTTGGCAATCGCCAGGGCTCCGGGGTCTCAGTCTCCTCTCCTGTGAAATGGGGATAACTGCGTGCTCGGTGATTCTGCACGTGGAGCGCGGCCGGTCGCCTAAGACGTCAGTGCTGCGGTTCCGCACCTCCCGGACCCCACCTTCCCACCACTCCGGCCTCGGCCCCGCCCCGGGGCTCCCGGGCTCAGCGCGCGGCGCTGGCTCCAAAGTGCGTCACGGGCGCTCCTCCGGCGGCCAGGGCGAGGCTGGCACGGGGCCAGCGCGGGCCTGGCAGCGGGTGCCTGGCCGTCTCGGAGGGGCTGGGACCCGGGGTGTGCAAGGCGCTGCAGTCGCGCGCTGTTGGGGGCGCCTTGCGCGGCAGGCAGCGCGCCAGGGCCCCGGCCTCCGGCAGCCTCGGGGGCGCAGAGGGGCTACACTTTCCCTTCGCCCCCCGCCCTCGTTTCCTCCCGCGCGGCCCGCAGCGGAGATTTCCTCTCGGGGAAACTACGCGGATCCTTCCCGGGGCTCCTCGCCCCGCCCCAGGTCTCCGCCCCCTCCTCTTCGCTGGGGAGCCGGTGCTCGCCCGCGGCGGAGAGGAGGCGCTGGCAGCCTGGGCCGGGAGGTGGCAAGGGGCCGCGGAGACGTCGGCTACCGACTCGTCCTGCCATGTGACGCCGCCCTCCGCCCGGCGATCCCCCGTGCGCCCCGGGCCCGAGCCCGCGCTCTGTCGCGCGGCACATCATGCTGCTGCCCGGCCACGGGCGCCCACCCTCCGCCGCGCAACCCGCGCAGCATCCCGGCCTCCGCAGGCAGGTGGAGCCTCCCGGGCAGCTCCTGCGTCTCTTCTGCTGCACCGTCCTGGTCTGCTCCAGAGAGATCTCGGCGCTCACCGACTTCTCCGGTAAGAAGCCACCTCCCTCGCTGAGCGCCCCCCGGCGCCGCGGGGCGCTAAGGTGAGCCCTTGGTTGGGGGCCGGCGCCCGAGGGGGCAAGGCCGGGTTGCTAGAAAGTTAGGGCGAGCTAGGAACCCGTTTTCTTGCCTGATGCGAACTCTTCGCATATAAGTAGCTGCATGTGGGATGACGGCAGAGGAGTCCCCCAAGAAGGAAGGGTGGGTAGAGTGTTTGGAGTTTGTCTCCCGATGAATTGACTTAGTCAGTTTCCCAGGGTCGGGGACCAGACTCGGAAGGATGCGTATCAGCACCTTACGCTGAGTCCTGTGCGCCGAGCTCAGCGCTGTTGGTACACGTGCTGTGGTCTACGTGGTACTTGGTTTGCTTTACGCGCAGTTTGGGTGTGCCCCAGCCGACCTCGTGGGTGCCCACGTAAGGAGACCAGTCCAGGAGACATTTGACCTGAAGTCTTTGCCAACAGACCTGAGGGAAACCCGCGGGTGGGGTGGTGGAAGGTCCGATGGAGATGCCATGAGAGATGAATAGAAGCTTGCAGAACAGAGAGAGTAGACTCAGGGGTAAGACTTTACCGCCAAAAGGCACCAGAGTTGGTCCCTTCCAGCCCCCATCACCTTAAAAAAGAAAAGAATAACAATTTCTCCTCCCAGTGACCGATGAGGCTTTTCTTTGGGGGAGACTGAGACCAAGGCTCCCACAGCCGATCTCAGATCGTTCTGGGGTTGTATGTGTGGCGCCACAAAGGGAGAGAGGTTTCTGAATTGATGGGGGCTAGAGGGACCGCATTCTTAAATTACCTTCCCCGTTGCTGAGAGTAACCAGACGTCCCTACAAAGGTGGATCAGACCTGGGTCTCCGTCTGGCGAGGTTGGAGGCCTTTCACCCTGTCCTCGCCCCTGCCCAGCCCAGGGAGCTGCTCTGAGTCCCATTCTTTGCCTTCTCCAGCATCTCCTGTCAAGTCCAGGCTTCCTGCATTTCTGCCTTGAAGGTCTCTTGCGGTATAATCACAGTCAGCAAGCCTCCTTCCTCAGCCCCTGTTTGTGCAGTACACTAGTTCATGGCGAGGGACACTGGCAAACCCGAAGCTGAGCTGGGTTTCTAGTTTACTTACAGAGAATGTCATTGTTAGCTCAGAGCCCTCGGGTCAGAGGTTCTTTGCTTTGAATATTTAATATCAAGGCAGTGTTTCTACCTCGCCAAGGAAGCCAAGACATGCCTATTTGGCAAGGAAACTGAGGTCCTTAAGACTGAGGGTCAGAGCGCTGTGGTAAATGTACTGGGAAAAATGCTGAATTTCAAGTGCTATTGACTTTTTTTTTTTTTTGGTAATAGAACTTTCTTGGCTGCTAGAAAAGTTCTGTCTTTGCTGATTTAAGCTATGGAAAGTAGTCTGAATTCAGCCACCGGCAAGCTGTGAGTATTGTTGAGGAAAGAGCAGAAAGCCAAGGAGCCTTTCTTTTGTGACATCATTGTAACTGAACAAATGTTGCTTTAGGTGCTGTTGCGGTGTAACCATTAGATTGTTCGCACAGATTATAGGCACTTAGAGCTATTTCTTTAGTGAAGCGGTTGCAATCCTTGAAGCAGTCTATAGGTTACCACCCAAGTTTGGAACTGTCTGAAGGTAACAGCTGTTTCAGAGGGTGAACTTGAGATGTCAAACAGGGGTGCTCTAAACTTGGAAGTGGGTGTTTTCATCTATTTCTCTAAATGATTAAATGAGAAAAGGAATTTTCTTGTGCTTTTAGTGGGCACCTAGATTCCAGGGTCTGAGACTCCCTGAGCCGATATTCGGTCGATGGTGACGTTGCCAGGTCCACCCACAGGCAACCTCCATGATTTCTCTGGTCAACCTTGCTCTTTAGAGATCTGAAGACCAGGGAGAAAGTGTCTGGGAGCCTTTTGGGGAGAAGAAAAGAAAAACAACCTTGTCTGAAACCACAGACACACTCACGTTTAGATCTAAATTCTAGCTTGTATGGCTTTAGGGAAACATTAGAAAGGGCTCAGGGATAATGTCTTCCAAAGTTGATTCATTTGACTTGAAACTTAATGAACCTTTAGGGACCCACCGAGCCATGTGACATGCAGCATCCAAGAAAATGCCTAAGCTCCAAAGATGACAGTCTGAGGGTTCAGTTGAAAGCTTTAGTTGACGCAGTGGATCCTGGTCATGTGACTCCAACACACACACACACCCTTCCCCAGCTCCCACCTCTGTGGCCTCAAAGCCTGATTCCTGCTCTCCTGGGGACAAGAGGCCCTGTTCCTGAACTTGGAGGGGTGTGTAGAAACCAGTGCCTGAAAAGAGACAGTGGACCCTCGCTTCGGAGCCTAACAGCAATAGCTGAGCATTGGAGAGCAGCATTTGATGCTGTCTTTGCTTGCTTGTTTTTCTAAACGAGGAAACATCAAAAATCCAGACAGAGGAAGGGTGGAGGGAACTTGGGACCCTTTCAGCCTTCGTGAAGAAGGGGATGGAAGCAGGATGGTGAATTCAGGTGGAAGAACATGCTGAAATGAAAGGGGTCCTAGCCTTTGTCTGTACAGTATTGGGCCCCTCGGGAGATTAGCAGCACAGAGTTTTGGAAAGTTACTTAAGCCTTTCTCTTCTCTGCAACTCTTCCTTGAGCTTTTTTTTTTTTTCCCCTGAGGTTGTCAGCTGGTGTAGTTTTCTTGGGTCATTGATTTTTTTGCCCTGGGGATTCCAGCATCAGATCTCACTCTTAATAAGCCAGAGGCTGCATCAGGGCCTTCTCCTCTCCCCCTTCATGCTCGTGACTTGTGCTAATCACCTCCAAGCCTGCTAGGAAACAGGCTCCCTAAACACCCCCTTCCCTCTCCTCCCTGAAGACATTGAGATGCTGCCAGCGGCCACTGGAAGGCTATCATCACTGCATTAAAAACACATCCCAGGAAGGCAAGAACAGTTCATGCAAAATTAGTTCCTCTGATCCTTAATCCCAAACTCAAATGCGCTTGGCTTTCGTCCATTTTCCTCTTTGGGATCGCGTTCTGTTCTTTTGACTGCATTCCCAACTTGAGGATTTAGCCTGAGAGGTCCGAACTGATCATTGATTTTTTTTTTCACACGTAGAAATACAATGTCAGCATCATCTTTGTCCAAAGAACAAGGCAGGATGAGGGCAGAGGGGAGGGAGCGGTGCCATTTCGGTTCCAACGATTAAAAAGATCCTAAAGATCCTTTCTACACGTGGTCCGGCTTTCAAGAGTGATGTGTTAGTGTGTCTTTGAACTGAGTTTGCCGTGTCCCTCAGGTCTTATTCAGTTTTTAAAAAATAATATTTATTTATTTGGCTGCATCAGATCTTAGTTTTGGCACATGGGCTCCTTCGTTATGGCACTTGGACTCTCGAGTTGTGGCATTTGGGCTTAGTTGACCCTCAAGTTGTGGCATATGGGCTTCATTGCTCTGAGACATGTGGGATCTTATCAGTAGTTCCCTGACCAGGGATTGAACCCTGCATTGCAAGGCAGATTCTTAACCACCAGGGACGTCCCATCTTGCTTATTTATCTATATATTTTTGATGGTTTTCCTCTCTGTGGAGAGCAGGCACAGTCTTCTCTCTCTGCTCTTTCCTTTTCTCCCTGTTCTTTTTTTTCTTTTCTTTTCTTTCTTCTCAAAGATGTTCAAAGTGATTGATGGACTGATGAGGGAGGGAAGGAAAGGATGGAAAATTCATCACGTTCCCACTTGGATTCCTAGAAAACTGACTTTTGACAGAAAGAGTCACGATCATATGTCGACCCATTTGGTTTTACCCTCAGGCACAGAGTGGTAAATGTGGGAAACAGAAAGGAAGTGAGAAGTAAGGGGAGTGGGGCTGCTTTTAAGGCCTTCCTTGTTCCCAGATGTCCCCAGGCCTCAAAGAAAGGGCACTGCATGATCAAAGGGGGTCTCTGGGTTGGTGTCCTACCCTGCCTGCCTCCATTAGTAGCCCAAGTGGGCAAGACAAGACGTGGGCTTGTTATCAGATCATTTGCAGCCTAGTGAATAAGCCTGACCCTAACTCCTTATTTCATTGGTCGAGAATTTCAGAATATAGGACTTCCCTGGTGGTCCACTGGTTAGGAGTCCTCCTGTCAATGCAGGGGACGCAGGTTCGATCCCTGATCTGGGAAGATTCCACATGCCTCGGGCTAACTAAGCTCATGCACCACCAACTACTCAGCCTGTGCTCTAGAACCGTCCAGCTGCAAGTACTGAAACCTGCTTCCCTTAGAGCCTGTGCTCTGCAACAAGAGAAGCCACTGCAAAGAGAAGTCCAGGCTCTGCAAATAGAGAGTAACCCCTGCTCACTGCAACTAGAGAAAGCCCACGAGCAGCAATGAAGACCCAGTGCAGCCAAATTAAAAAAAAAAAAAGAATTTCAGAAAATAGAAAAATGGTTGTTCCCTTGGTTGGGATCCCTGGACTGGGAACTTTGTCCTGATGGAGTGTTCCATTTAGAAGAGGTTGAACCTTCCTTTCCTACTTAGAGAAACAGTGAGTCTCAACCCTGGTTGATACAGTAATATCGCTGGAGTCTCAACAAATACATGGATGCCCTAGCAGCAACCCAGGGCTCCTGATGAAATTCATCTGGGAGATCCAGGCCTGGGTCTCTTTTTCAAAGCCCCCAGGCAATTCTAGAATGCAGGGAGGGCTGAGGACCACTGCTGCCCGTGTCAGAGGGCAGGGATGAGGCGTGCACAGTCCATCCGGGGGTACGCGGGTATGACTGGGTCTCACCTCCCCCTCCCCCACCCCAGGGCTGACTGCCGGGGAGACCGGGATGGATGTTCCCTGCTCTCAGTCTGCCGCTGTGTCCCAGCACCCAGGTGTTCAGACTTACACAGACGTGCACATGTGCCCATGTGCACACACACAGCTCTGCCTTTTATCATCTGTTGGTCGCATCATACTTTAATTCGAGATTGTCTTCACTTTCAAAACTTTGATGGAGCCAAAAGCCAGCTCGTAACCAA